TTTTCGGGAGCGCTGGGCGTCGGCGCCACCCTTCTGTCCGTCTCTCCCCGAGTCGGTCAGGTCACGGGGCGTCGGAGCGCACACCTCCGGAGTTAAGACTGTATCGGTCAGTTCGCGGTCACATCCCGGCCGCGGTGGCCTCCAGGTGCACCACGTCCACAAAGGCCGAGTATCTCCCGGCCGTCGACTGGTGCAGGGTCTCCCAGCTCCCGCGCCGCTGCGCCGCCATTCGGACCGGTATTGCGGCCAGGTCAGGTCAGCTGGAGAGCAGGGACACGCCCTCGGAGGCTGGGCGGGGCCGCCCTCTCACCCGCCCGCCGGCCGACCCGACACATCTCGCACAAGGACACCGACTTCAGTATGCAAGATGGCCCAGATGCCGGCTCGTGACCTCCGCGCGGCTGTCCCTGCTGCTGCCACAGCCGCCCACGGGTCCATGTGATATCAATCGGTGCTCTCTGGGACAAAACACAGTGATAGTGAGGGGAGCGTAACATGGGGGACGAGCGCTGGCTCACATTTCATGGTGCGCTCACGGTGACGGCACAAACAACGGGCCGCACGATATCAGGGTTGCCGAGATGGGCGCTGTGCCTCCAAACACGGGCTATAACCCCGCCTCTGGCCGCGCGGCCGGTCAGCCGACACACTATCCCGGCCCGGAGAGCCGACCGGCGCGCTCCGGAGCGGCATTAGGAAGTCGTAAAGCGGCCTAATGTCTTCCACCAGAGCCGCGGCGGGGCGCTATCTGGCTCAAGTGGTCGGTTCTGAGCCGACCGAGCACCTGAGATCCCAGAGCACCGCGGTGACGCCACGTCCGGCTCCGACGGTCTCAGAACTGGGCTGGGCCTGAGGCGCCTCAGACGCATACCTCTCAGAGGCCTTCGTGGTTAGAGTGTCCTGAAGTCGATACCCGTAAAGCTCGACTCTATACACGGCCGTATCATGCTCCAAGTAAAATGGAGCACTGAGCCTTTGACTTTCTCGTCCTCCTCGGGCGACAGCCTCCGACGGGTAGCCAGGTCACATCTCAGTGGGCTGCGACCCGCTCCCTGCCCGGCTCATCAGACACATCCCTCCTTACGCGGAGACCAGCGCCGATTTTACACCACTCCACTCCGGCCGCCCCATCGCAACTGACGGATCTAGCACCACCTGAGGTGCCATCGATTCATCCAGATAATCTGATACCATATTGTTAATTCGTATCCCCAAGAAATCGGATTTAGGATTTACAAATCCATCGGCCTATATATCCCGGTGCGGAGCTAAATCGAGGTTCCGGGTCGTTCAGGGGCACACGTCAGCCAATGTGTAGCACGGTACACACGATACGCGAGCTGTTCGTTCGCCGAAAGGCCCGTGTGAGCTGGAGATTACACGGGTAAGTCGGCGACCGGGTCGGGTCGGAGCCCGGGCAAACACCGGCGGGGCCCGGATTTCCTCCGGCAGTGCGTGAGCTGTTCAGGGATACACTGCCAAGGCCGGTTTCCGGTATCGGCCCATTAATGACTGCAATCAACCGCGACGTGACACGAAGGGACCGTGATTCAAACATCGAACATGTGGCGTGATTCGTGAGCGTTTTGCTCACGTCGTAAACACGTACCTTGGAGTTGTCTAGAGCAAGTTTGCACTTTGGTTGGTCTTGGTTTGCTCCAGCTCGGCATCTGTTATTACGTCCCATGGGTCTTCTGTAGAACAAGTGAAATTTATTTGAACCTGTTCAGTGTTCAGCTATGTCTACGAAACAAAAGAAATCCATTTTCCTGGCCTGGTGAACAGTGAAATACGGACATGGCGCCGCCAGCCCCTGAACCCCTCCCGTCACATATTTCAGCTGGCCGGAGTCGGCTGGGGAACAACGTTTGCCCACACTGTCCCGTGTCGCCCGGGTTTCGGTGGCATACCTCCGCGACACGCGGGCGCTCGGACAGCCCGGGTGACCGCTGGAGTGGCCGGCGGTGGGTCCTGTCTCATTAGCCAGCAGCGGGGGCCGCGCCAGGCGACACGGAGTCCTGCCGCGACGGCCGTCCGTCCGACGCGGCCGGCCCGCATCGGACCGCCGCGCGCCGATCCTGTTATGATAGCCGGCCGGTGACGAAAATACGGCCCTCCGCAGCGGCGGGGTGTCGGACGCCGCGGTATCTCGGCCGCACGGTGCGCTGCGATCTGTCCAATCCCTCCGCCCCCGCGCGGTCCACCCCTGCTCCTCGGCGCGGGTCTCGAAGTGGGCCAGGTATGGAGACGGCTGCCGTCTCCGGGTACGGCCGATGGGTGCACACCTGCAGATTAGCAGCGGCAGCGCGAAAACACAGCCGCTGCGACCCAGGACAATAGCAGATTAAATCGCGGCTTCTGTGAGAATTTGCGCAGCTGTCTCGGCTCTATTTCCACCTGGATAATAAGCAAAAAAACAGAAAGCAAAACTGCAGCGTTAACTATTGGTGACCGACTGTGTTGTTTAATGATGCAAGCCTCCACCAAATACCTACTTTTATCACTCATTTTCAGTTAAATTCCTCTCCAAGTTCTTAGTTTCATTCCCTGTCCATTCCATCCCCCCCTTTCTTCCCATTTCCACATTGTCTCTCCCCGTCGCCCTGTCCCATGTCACCCAGTCCGTGTCCCCTGTCCCCCACCGGCGCGGCGGTCCGGTCGCAGCTGGGGTGGCTATTTTTTAGCTGCGCTCGGCGGGGCGCCTTCACGGGAGAATTCTCCACGATCCGGCCCGGACCGGTCACAAAGGTGATGTCCGCTGTGTTGACCCACCCTGTCGGTTGATGGATGGGGCATACGGGCGGCGCTGCGCTGTTGACGCGCTACGCCCCCGCCCCCGCCTCCGTCCGTATGTGGCAGCCTGCCGCCGGTAGATATCTTTGGTCAATATTGGAGGCGGTTTCTCACGGAACACGGAGTTTACACGAGCGATAACGGGTTGACGCACCGATTGTGTGCTTATTTGAACGCGGTGATATTGCTCATGTGTGCCCGTCATCAGTCCGTTTACCAGTTTTTGTCTACCGGGTACATACTACATACGGCAGTGTTGCCTATAGACGGGAAAGAAATGTTTTTCCTCTATATCCGAGAAAGTTTGGTATCAGCGACATTGTGTGCCCTGCAGCCCATGCACAGTTGACGGCCAGCGTCTCACAGCGACCTATATGTATTACACAACTTTTTTTGCGTGCTTTACGCACACATGATGTTAAGAAATACTTTCAAAATGTGGAGGAAAAATTTAATCCAGGTCATGTTTGATTTGAAAGCTAGAGTAAGAATATTTAGAAAACCGACAAGAATAGGAAACAAGGCCTCCGGCGTCTCTGTTCGTAGCGGTGCCATTTTCCTCCCATGTGCCATGTGCGGGACTGGGCCGGGCCGTGTCGATGGCGGCCGAGGGGGCGGGGCCCGCGTCCTGCTCAGTGCGCTGCGCTCTGCACTCTGGGAGCTGACCGGCCAGGTCGCCAGCTGGTGTCACCGGTCAACAATGCAGCCGAGTACACCTGCGCACCGCCGCTGCAATGTTGCACTGCAGCCCGTGCAGTATCGGCCCGCGCAACATCATCCGTACACCCGGCCGCTGAAACGGGACTCGGTCGGGGGGCGGTGCCGGTCCCCAGCGCCAGCCCTTCCGGTCACCGTGTCACAGTGCACGACTTCACGGGAGTAATGTGCTTCAGTGATCGGTACCACACGCGACTGCACCACCCCATCACCCACACGCCACCGCCCGTTACTCGCCAGTGTCCGCTACCGCCCGCCACCGCCCGGCGGTGAACTGACCGGCGTCCCCCCTCCCGTCGTCCGTCCGCCACCGCCCGGCGGTGAACTGACCGGCGTCCCCTCTCCCGTCGTCCGCCCGTCACCGCCCTTTGTTCCCATCCATTGATTGTGTCATGCGTGCATTATTTATGGCTGCCAACGGCCACGCGCTGCTGCTTGTAGTGGCCGTAATTGGGTGGGGCAACAGGGGATCAGGGACGGGGAACGGAGATCTGGGGTAAACCCCATCGGTCCAGCAAATCCCTGCTTTTATCGCTTTGACTTTTGAGCTTTGGTATACACTCAAAAATGGGATTCACTTCACACGGATATTCGCTGTGGGTATTGGATGGGCGCTTGGCATGGGGTCGGACGAATTATATCTTCCTGCACAGTGCGCATTTAGTTTTCCTTCCTGCTAGTCGAAGAACGCCGGGCGGGGCCCCATCGCCACGCACATGTTCGGTTTCCCGAACATCGGGAAAACATTCTTCTTCCATCCGCAGGAGGCATGTTTCAGCAACAGCTTCTCCGAATGACACTCTCATTCTTACCCGGAAAACGCAGGCGACAAACACAGCCGTCCGCTGTTACCCGGCCGCCGCAGCCCACGCCGGTGCAATAGCGCACGGCTCGTGGTCGGCGCCGCCCCCATCCCCCCTCCCCGCTCCCGCGATACACGCAACCCAGCCCGACCCGTGACCCGACAAGGTCACCACTCGCTTGCCGTCGCATGAAAACAGGGTAGTTAGCGCTCGGCCGATGGGGTGCGCACACTCGAACGGATCGGTTGCCGGCGCACGGGACGTTTAATTGCCGGGTTCGGCTCGTTGGCAACCACTTGACGGACGCGAAACGAACGCGGGATGGTGGGGTCAATGGGCGATTTGATCGCAAACAAGGTCAGATTTGCAGGTGTAATCGGTGGGCGAGGGGCGCCGCTGGTACCGAGCCGGACCGATGGCATCGTGAGAAGCGACGGCCGTTTCAAGGCGGATGAAACAAATAACCTGTGAATTTATGGACCGACGATTCCATGTAGACGAATATCTGATTCTTTGATGTGACTGGATCAGAAGATTAATAATCTATGCACGGTCTTGAGTAAACATCTTACGGTAGACATTGTTCGAGAGAAAATTCATTTCCAGGTACACTGCTTTCATTTGTAAGTTTCTTTAATGGTAGCTGTCTTTCAACACCTCAAATAAATAATCCACTTTTCGTTTCAGCAACTGGTTGGGAACGCCTCTTCCTACCTATACACCGCGACCAGTCGGCGGGCCTTCTTCCGCGACGTGACGGTGGTGGTGCCGAGCTCGTGGCCCCGCAGCTGCACGGGCGGCGCCACGCCCGGCCAGGCCACCACCCAGAGCTACCTGACGTCGGACGTGAGGGTCAGCTCTGCCCACCCGGTGTACGGCGCGGCGCCGTGGACGCATCAGGCCGGCCTCTGCGGACAGCCGGCCGCCTTCGTCCAGTTCGCCGCCGACTTCGTCGCCTCTGGCGACACGGAGACTTATGGCGATCAAGGTGAGATGGGCTCCGGCGTGCCGGCCGGCTCGCCCATCTGCAGCCGGTGCGGTATTAGTTATGGGTCCATTCGGTGCTTGGCAGTGGTGATTTCGCTCAGTTTTGAGTGTCCATTCAACCAAGTTTGCTGCCAATTTTGTGCAGTTGATAGGTAAGTGACCTTATAGCGGTGAACGCCGAGGGCCATCTCAGACCAGGTAGCGAGTCAGCAGCTTGTGGAGAACATCAGCCGTCTTCCCCAGCTCTTACCCCGCCCACTGACCGCTAACGGCCGCCCATCTCCGGCAGCGCGCGTGCTGGTGCACGAGTGGGCCAAGTACCGCTGGGGCGTATTCGAGGAGGCCGGCTACGCCGAGGACCCGCTGTATCCGTCCTTCTACCAGCTGTCGGCCGGCCAGTGGGCCCCCACCGGCTGCGCCGACGCGCCCGTCGCCGGCACCGTCGAGCCGTGAGTATACTATGCGGTGTGGAGTGGAGACACCGTATGACCCAGAGTGGACACCGAGGGACTGACGGCCGAGCAGCGTATAGTCTGCCGGGCCCGTCCGGACAGAACCGGCCGGGACGAGCGTATTGAAGAGAGATACGGAACGACCAATATGTGCAATCAGATTCGCTGTCGACACACTTTATAGAGGAATATTGACCAGGAGCACATGGGATCAGGCTATAACGCATTGAACACTAAAAACATTTTTCTCAAACTTCACTTCTGTGATGCACTATTGGTTTCGACTTTCGACTATAATTTTTGCCGCATAAGGTAGTTGAACAACGCCCCTCGTACCATTCGTTCGCGGCTCTAATCGACCTGTTATTTGCGGTCAGGTCAGTCAAGGACAGCTTCAAATTACGGCCAGATCATTTAGCGTGATTGGCATGCAGCCCCACTGTGTGACCCGTACGCCAGCCCACCGGTGTCAGATTGTCAGACCGGGCCTGCACTGGTGTGGAAATATGCCGAACCGCCGCAACCATGGCATGGGCGGATCCAGGCCCAATCTCACCAATGCCGTAAATGGGATTTGGCAGCACTGGCCGGAGTTTACGGCACTGATATCAAAAATATCCTTTTTATTTACATAATATAGGTAATCTCGTCCAATGATTTTGATATCGTGAATGATAATGAATGTTGCCTGAATGAATGAATAGGTAAGTGAATGTGGAATAGTTCTGAATGTTACCAAATGCCGTCAATGCGCATTCACGGCATTTGGTAAGATTGGGCCCAGGAAGGCCGTCTTGCATGCTGCGGGAGTGGTCCTCCTCCCCAAAAAGCTGCAACTTCCAAAAACTCTTCGGATTTCCATTCCTTATCTCATTGCTCTCCAGTTGATCGAAAACAAATCTTCCCATGAAAGTTGTTTAGGTAGTTGTTTTTAAACGGCACATTTCAACAATTTCAGGCGCTGTCGCATCGCCCGTCCTCAGACGCACCGCTGTGCCGATCCTGCAGCTTCTGCAGCCCGCGTGGGTCCCTGTACAGTGTACAGTGTACACCACGCACTGACGTCGTTTGGCAATGGCGTTCTACGGTGGGAGACGCTCCGGCTCATACTGTGCTGCAAGCTGACTGCTGCCGGAGCTGCTCCAGCACTATTCTCTGCCATCGGAGCTGCCCCGCCTCTATGTATATTGTATATGCTCTGCCATCGGAGCTGCCCCGGCTCTAGATGCTGCGCTATCGGAGCTGCCTCGGCTCTATTCTCTTATATGCTTGTCGCGTGCGTCAACGCAGCGCTGACACATTGCCACACATACCGCGGAACCCAGCACAACATGCGCGGAAAATTCAGCATAGCTTCGCTGTTAGCCAAGCCACGGGCGTGTGGCTGTAGCCTCTCACACAGCCATCACTACAATTCGCGCCTTCTATTAAGTACCACATCAGTTATCCAAATATCGCAGTGCCAGACGCCAAACTCTGTCACACTTCCATGTACCTATACCTAAAGGTTATTGTCATAACCGCCAACATCGTCCCGTCGCAGTCATAGCACCACCGGATCATCAGGCCGATGACAACAAAACCACCGCCACCACCACACACCGCCACCACCACTACCACTGCTCCTGCTTCAAACTCCACAACTTCCACACAGTCTCCTGCACAGTCTCTACCATCGCCTACCACTGCTTCCTTCACCTGTCCCATCGGGCGCCACACCGGGCAATCGAACCAGACGAGGGCCTCTGGGCCGGGAGCAGGCGCCTTCCGGTGCCTGAGACAGGTGCTAACGTTCGATCGGTGGAGTCGTAATACACATTCCCTCCACTCTGGTGCCGGATATCTGTACCTATTGTATTCCTTCCAGTGATGGTAGCCCCCAGAGGCCCAAGCGCTGTATCCTTCCGACATCCCAGATTTTTCCATACAAGTTAACCCTATTCCTGGCGGGGGGGGGGCCTCAGGAGCCCCCCTGAGGTTTTTTGGTTATTTCTCCCAAACGCGTTGAGCTAGGAAGCTCAAATTTTCTGACTTTTCCTATAAGGCTTCTACGCAACATGTCTGAAAATTTTGAGTTGATCTGACCTCAGGTCAGGTCACCAGAGGCGGTTTGGTGACCCTACCTCAGAAAAGTTTGCAATCACGCCAGAGCTAGAGTTTTTGACCGATCAATTTCTTCTCTTCAGGCTTTAGTTAGGGTACCAGTATGTGCAATTTGTATGTCTCGGAATTTTGATATCGGTGACCTAAGGTCAGGTCAGTTTCGCGACCTCCCCATTATAAGTCAATGGGGGAAAAATCAACTCCCTGTTTTTACCACTAAAACGGGTCGGAATGGCCCCATATACCATACATGACTTCATATACGATCAACCTTCACTACCTTGAGGTCTGTTTTGCTGTTGGGCAGCTGTGAGGTCATGTGACGTCATCAAAGGTCACCAAAGGTTTTTGGCCAATAACTCCGTACAGGAACAAGATACAGACGCGTGGATGGTCTCATTGTGTTCAGCTCGTCAAGACGCATCGAATGATATACATGATGACCTCGAGGTCACGTGACCTGAGGTCAACCTTTGACCTTGACCTTTCGAGGTCAACATATATATCATTCGATGCGGATTGACGAGAGGATCACGATGATGCCCTTAGTTTGTTCTTATCTTGACTAATTCGAAAGTTATTCGAGAAAAACTCTCTCCATATCTAGCGCCGCCATTTTGACTTTTTCGACCCCTGTGACGTCATCTTTGACCTGACCTGAAAATGACCTTAGTAAAAATTGTAGACCTTTTCCATGCGTATCCGATGCCGTTTACCGCTTGTCGCTATCTTGCTTCGTTCTCGAGATCTCAGGGGGGCCGAATCGGCCCCCCCCCCCCCGCCAGTTTCTTGTCCCGGCGGAGCCCGCCAGGAATAGGGTTAAGGTTTTGATAACGCAGAGCCAGACGAAGCTCGCTTCTACCAAATATGTGGAAGGATCGCAAATGCCTGGGCCAGTCTGCGAAACTGTCTTTGTTCACACTCCACTGTTTCATGCAGCTTGGATGGCGATTGTTCTGTTAATCTTGTTCCGGGCTGCGTACAGCGTAGTGCGTCACATTCCTGAACTAATGTGGTGTTCTTTGTCTCCTGCAGGTCTGGCTGCGAGGAGAGCTCCAACACTTGCACCTTCGTCCCGTTCTTGAACGAGACTAACGACGCCGTCGCCTCGTCCGTCATGTACCTGCAGGCTCTCAGACAGGTGGGTCACGCGGTCGATGTTGAGAGTGTGAGCGCCAAAGCCAGGCAGAGTAGTGGCAACAAGCAATCTCGGACAACTGACATCAATCAAGTTGAGCCATTGGAGTCTTAACCTAGCACTTCATTTTTACGTTTGTTTAGTCCGTTCTCATAGCAAGAACGCCCGAGGAAACTTCATTTGTCAAATTCAGCTTTTATATTTGCAAGTTGTAGCACAAATGCTTACAATATAGTTGCAGTGCCATTAGTTTCAAACATGATCCTAGCGTACCTACCTATGCATCTATGTATAGACACGTTGTCTTTCGTATGCCTTGAAAAACTTCGTCCTTAGTAGGTATTATAGGACAATGCGTACCGTTTGCGCGTCACCAACGACCGAACGTTGCCACTTGCCAATCGTCAGAATGAACTCATTCATCTTAGCTCGAGCCATCTAGGCCAACGCCTTGGTCAAAGGGATAAGTTCTGCTACAGAATCGAGCGGCCTGCCCCAGCAGGTGGCGCCACTGTTGGTCCCAGCCTGCGTAGAGTGTCGTTTCTGCGGTAAAGACCGTTTTCCATCAGCTCAGGCCACCACACCTAAGTCACATTTCCGATTGTTTCCGACAGGTGAAGAACTTCTGTGATGATAGCAACCATGTGAGCTCTGCTCCGACCAAGCACAACCTGCTGTGCGGAGAGAAGTCTGTCTGGGAGGTGATGGAGGCTCACGAGGACTTCCATAACGGCAACAACCCACCGAACGCCAACGCAACGCCACCGGAGGTCAACTTCAGGGTCGTCAAGGCAACCACCGACCGCTTCTTCTTCCTTCTCGAGAGCACAGTAACGATGCGCCAGCAGGAGCGCTGGGACTATGTCAGTAACTCCATCCGCAAGTTCATCAACTGGGACGCCCCGACGGGCATCCAGGTGGGCATCGGCCACTTCGGCTCGGCCTATCGGACTGACCGCAACCTGACCACGGTGCCGGCGTCGCTGATGGGTCGCGGCGAGCTGGCCAACCTGCCGCCGATCGCCGACAATGTCATGGAGAGCGACAAGAGCTGGCGGTTCGCCCTGGACGGCGCGCTGCTGGCGCTGGGGCAGCAGGCTGCCGGCTCCACCATCATCTGGGTGACCGGCAACGGCGCCGGCAGCGAGGTCCAGCCGCAGGAGGACGACATCCAGTACATGATCGGCCGTCTGCAGGACAAAGAGGTCAGTGCCGTACGACGGAGGCGTCGCGCTCAGACTGGTGGACGAGTCCAACGGGAGACCGATAGTCACCACACTTCTCTGAGCCAGTCGCGTGGAGTGCATATCGCGAGCGCTCATTATTGTGTTGTTGGTATTCAATAGCTACGCTAAAGAGACGCGTATTAACTCAACTTATCATTAACTGATATCACTCGCATGTCGCACTAACACAATTGTTCTTCCCTTTTCGCAGGCTCGTCTGGCTGTCGTGTTCTACCCGTTCGTGACGCCGGGCCTAGCACGTGTCGCTATGGCGACCGGCGGTGACGTGATCTCGGTGCCAGACGTAAGTGTGGGCACCCACACGTCCATCAGCGTGTTCCACGCGCTGGCCGACGCCTACGTGTACACCTTGGACAAGTACATCTCCAACAGGCGGCTGGTGCGCGTCCAGGTCGAGGACACCCAGTTCGAGGGGAACGGCGCCACCGCGCGAGGCTCGTTCCTCATCGACAACACGCTCGGCGTCAACACTACCTTTACGGTGCTGTTCGGCTCGCGCTCCGACATCGGCTACGTGCGCCTGCGCGCGCCGGGCGGCACCATGCAGCAGGTGTACACGTACCCGGACAGCACCAACCACCTGATGTACACACCCGTGCAGCCCACGGTGAGTTGAGCCTCTCCCGAGAGGACTATGGGGTCTCTCCGCCGGCTGTCCCCGGCAGGGTGTCGGCCAGCACAGTGCCGTAGTTTTGGCTGATATGCATGCTTTGCCCCGTCAGACCAGTTAAATATTGATTAGCCTGTAAAGTAGTAAAGTGCCGCCCTTGGACTGTGTACAATTCAACTGGGATCAAATTCTGTGCGATCATTCTTGAACGTTGATGTGCTCCTCGAACGCTTCAGCCAGTCTCAAAATCAGATCTTTATCGCCTCAGCTTTCATCACCTGCACATGTGGCACGCTATCTCCCAAGCGTTCCAAGACACGCAGGGGCCCTGGCACGAGTCTGACCCCACCTCTCTTCGCTCGCCACCTGCAGCAAGGCCAGTGGGAGTACGAGGTGGACAACCTGGCGCCATCGTACGGCAGCATCTTCGTGCAGGTGACCTCGTCGCCGTCCTCCTCTGAAGACACGGTGCGCACCGAGGTGTGGACTAGCGCCGACGGCACGGGCACCCTGAACGCCACCGGTGCGCCACTCATCGTCTACGCCTCGGTGAGTGGTCGACACTCCTCATGGGGACTGGTTTCTATGGACCTCCAGTGATGGGAATCAGGTAGCATTTGTTTACTTTCGTAGCAAAGGGCAGAATTTCGAATGTTCTGAAACCCAGCGTTGGTCCTAAAGTATGCGAGGCGATGTCTGTTACATGGATATGTGAAAGACTTGTAGATCAGCAGCTTTAAGGTATTCCACCCATGTCGGATCGTTAGTTTTGCCACGCATTTCTTTGGTAAGGTTCCTTCCCACACATCATGCTATGGAACAATTAAATGATCCAAACCTGTCTATAACATCTTATCACTCGCCGTTCTCTGGAACAAAGCGGCCCTAACTGCTCACATCCAGCCCCGAGATGTTAGCAGATACACCGCTACTCGTTCCTGTCTGGAACTAAGTGATCGTTCTGTACACCCCCAGCCCCGGGTGGGTTCCTCTGCTCACGGTGACCTGTGCTGCTCCCCAGGTGATGCGAGGAAATGCCCCAGTGCTGGACGCTGAGGTGTACGGCGTCATCACCGGCCCGGGCAACGAGACCACGCGCATCCCGCTACTGGACAACGGCCTCGGAGGTACTGAGCGTCAACCACACACATGCGTCCGATATAGGCTAGATGCAGATGAGGCTTCAGAGGAATGACCCTAGCATCAGCTCACCCATCCGTGGTGCATTAATCTGTTGGCGGCATAGTAGCTGATCCCTATATTGACACCAACGACATCTATGTTACGAACTAGCATTGTAACCAATGTGTCTGCACTGTTGCCTTCGTCCACGTACTTGAGCCCCTGACTGAGTGTTTCGTGTTCGGCAGTTCCGGACGTCCTGTACGGCGACGGCATCTACTCGCGCTACTTCACCGAGTTTGGCGCGCTGTCGGACGCCGGTCAGCTCTTCACTGTGCGGGTGGAGGTGGGCGGCGCGCGCGCGCGGGTCGTCACCGGCCGTGCCCTGGTCGCTCCGCGGGCGGTGCCCGTCGACGGCACGGTGCCCTGCTGCGGCTCCACGGTGGGCAACGTCACCACGGTGCCTGTGTTCGACCTGAGTCGGACCGCCTCGGGTGGCGGGGTGCTGGTCACCGGCGCCGCCGACCCGACGGTCGATCTGTACCCGCCCAGCCGGGTCACCGACCTGATGGCCGAGCCGAACGCCGAGGAGCAGACGATCGCCTTCAGCTGGTCGGCGCCCGGCGACGACTTTGGCAAGCCCGATTCAACAGGTATGGGGTAGCTGTCGAGCGTCGCTGCCAAGGCGCAACGGGTTTCGCAGTGGATGATGCAAACGATAATGGAACGCATTGATTGAACTTTTCCGAGTGCATTGTTCGTTACATCTAACAGCGTTAAGACCAAATTTATGAAGGCATCAGAACTGCTGTGTTCACTGCTCATCCCGGCTTTAGGGCGGCAGTACTGATGTTTATTTGGATTTCAGGAGTTCAGTTTTTGTTGAGTTAGGATTCAGCTGTTGAAGTTGGGGTTGATCTGAAGTTGAGGTTGTGTGGTTCAGTCCAGCCATTCCTTTACATTATCACCATTTTAGGCAGCAGTCAACAATATATCCATGATTTTCCTGGTTTGCCATGTTTCATTTGACGACTACAACGTCGCCTTTCTCCCGCTTTCAGTGGCGTTGTACGATGTGCGTTTCTCGGAGAGCCGAAACCAGCTGCGGGACCACTTTTCCGAGTGCCAGGCCGTCTCCGAGTGGAGCCAGCCTGAGCCGACCGGCACGCCCAGCCTCGCCGTCATCGACTTCCACACCGTCGACACCATGTTCTTCTTCGCCATCCGCGGGGTCGACGAGGCCGGAAACGCGGCTGAGCTCTCCAACATAGTGTCTGTGGTGATGCCGCCGCCGCCGCCGACGCCGTCGCCCGTGCCGCCGACCGGGACCTCGGCGCCGCCGCAGCCGACCTCGCCCACCTACGACAACACGCTGCTGCTCATCGTGCTGCTGTGCGCGGCAGGCGTGATGCTGGTGGTCGTGCTGCTGGCTCTCTACTACTTCCTCTGCCACCGGCGCAGGAAGCCCGACCCGGGCACCGGCAGCGTGAGCTCGACGCGACACATCACCACCGTCACCGTGCCGCCTGTGGAGAGCCGCGAGCCCACGCCCGTCAAGATCGCCTACGACATGGATAAGGAGACGGGTGTAAAAATCGTCTCTGATGGCCAGACGCCGAGCATGTGGACCGCCTCGGACATCCTAGACACGGGCCGCGAGCACCGGCGACACAGTCCCGACGACAGCTACGGAAACTACAGCAACGGCCTGACACTGAGCGCCGCGCACCTGCAGAGCGGCGCCGCCGGCCGGGCGCGCTACAACAGCTACCAGACGCCCTACGTCGAGGACATGACCTACGACGGCCGCTCGCTGGTCAGCACCCAGCCGTCCGACTCGTTCCTCTCGCTCGCGTCCGACCCGCGGCAGCGCAACAACAACACGCTCTCGGAGGGCGGCGAGCCGGCCGGCTGGCCCAGCGACAAGGACTCGCTGGTGGCGGCGCAGCGCGGCCGGCCGGGAGGCCGCGCGCCGCCGCCCACCCTGCCCAAGCCGCGCCTCAGCCCGGTGGACGGCGGACCGCCGAGTGTGCGCGGCTCTGTGGCCGGAGACCGGCGGCTGCGCAGCGTGACGCAGGTGTAGCGCCGCGCCGCCGTGGACTCCCAGTGTGACACAGGGAGAGAGGGTGACGGCGCGACCTCAGCGTGCCTCGGACTCCCACTGTGAGACAGGCGCGAGCTAGGCCGTGCCGGACGCTTGTCGCTCACGTTCAACCCAAAGAGGTGGCCGGTGGGCTCACCGCGAGAAGGCCAGGCGCGCCCGGCTGCGCACAGAGGCCACATCTCGGCTGTGAAACGGGCTCTGCGTCCGACCAGCGAGTGTTTGTACCGTGTGGCACCGCCTGGGGAGATGGACGTTTGTATGGTGCGCATCCCTCCGTGAGATTGACCGTTGTACCGTGCGCATCCCCTCGTGGGCTAGATGTTTGTACCGTGCGGCACTGCACCCAACCGGAGGCAGCTGAGCAGCACCTTGACAAAACAGGGCTCGTTTCACCACTATTTTATACCTACATAGCATTAGACGATATCAATGTATGCGTCATCTAGTCACAATGTACTGCCCAATAAATGTTACATGCAAAGTTTTTTTTTTTTTTAAAGAAGAACAGTTTTAAAATTAAATGCATTTCCTTTTTGGCTAGACTGCAGGATGGTAGGTCGGCACTCGACATCCCTGAGCCGAACCCTGCCCCCATCCCCCGGCCCGCGCTGGGAAGGGGAGCAGAATCGGCCACTTCCCGTTTTCTGCCAAGAGCTTCTAAACGTGATTCGCCATGGCGATATGAAACTTCAGCACGTTAGCATACATCAGTTCGACAGGTTCCCGTCCCCCGAAAACATGAATGAAATGCGTCATTTTTTTTAAAAGAAAATGACTATTGAAATAAAGCGTGTATTCAGCATCTGAAAAATTAGGGATAATTATCCGGGATCATAGGCGGCGGAACGGGGAGGGCACCGGGGCACCGTGCCCCCTTTTATTTTGGCATTTTAACATTAGCCCTATGGGCTTTGCATGGAAAGAATGGGACCAAAAGTCGTCAGTGCCCCCCCCCCCCCCCCCCCCTGCCAAAGATATAGCCATTTGAGTGGCTGAAAAAGTAGCGACTGTTCGTATGATGTCACAATATTTTCAGTAGGTATTTGTGCTTGAAATCAGTCAGCAGTAATATTAATCCGCGCCCCGTAGGGCTATCGGCGGACCCTACCACCCGTAGGTCGGGGGGGGGGGGGGGGGGGCAGGCGTTTCGGCCCCCCTAAGATCTCGGAAATTAACCGGCCGATTTTCAAAATTCAAACGGCGTTCGGTAGCCCTACCGGAGAACTACCTAGTGACCAAATTTCATTGACCTAGGTCAAACCGATGACGTCACAGGTCAGGTCAAAGTTCGGATTTTCACCGTTCACAGGCATTACAAGAAATGTGTTGTGAAATCGAGTAAATTGGTAAGTTATTGAAAACCATCGATGGTACATTGTTCGTCAAACACATACTTTGCTATCTGAAGTCACTGATACCAGGTCAGGTCACAGCGAGGTCAGGTCACCGGGGGTCACAATATGAAAATATCATGTGATACATGTTTTATGGTTCATTTTACATGACAAATGCGATTATGTGGGTTAGGCAGCCTTTGGGGCCAGCCTAGGTCATGTTTTGGTGAAGGGCAGGTCAAGGTCAGGTCAAATTTCAAAGTTGATATTTTTGCATAAAATGGGTATCGATTCCATGCAGCTCGTCACGGGGAGTCTAATGGTGGTCTTTGTTTTACTCTACGAGGTCTAGAATTGCCAAAAATTGAGTTTGAATATTTTACGTCATCATTTTTGAACAGTTTTTTCGCTATAACTTGGCCAAAAATCGAGGTATCGATCTGAAATTTGGTATGTAGATAGAAGACGGTAGGGCTAATATGTCCATAAAGTTAGCGTCGTATTCGTATTCGGATTCAAATTCGAGTAATGATTTCGCTCAAAATTGGCATACAGATAGCCCATGGCACGCTGAGTTCGAAAATGGTGACCTTTTTTTCCTAGGTCAAACCGTTTGACCTTGAGAGGTCAAAATACTGCGTACCCTGTAGAATCTTTGTTTATGGTCCGATTTGAAAATTTTGTCCACCAGTGTGTTCGTCTCATCGAGAAACAGTAGCACATTCAAAAAAATCCGAGGTCAAGGTCATAGGTCAAGGTCAAGGTCACTTTAAAAATCGCCGTACCCTATAAAATCTTCATTTTTGGAGCTATCGGAAAATTGCGGCCACCACTGTGTTCGTCTCATCGAGAAGCAGTAGCACATTTAAAAAAATCCGAGGTCAAGGTCATAGGTCAAGGTCAAGGTCACTTTAAACGTTAATTTTAGTCCCCGTACCCTGTAGAATCTTTGTTTATAATCCGATTTGAAAATTTCGGCCACCACTGTGTTCGTCTCATCGAGAAGCAGTAGCACATTCAAAAAAATCCGAGGTCAAGGTCATAGGTCAAGGTCAAGGTCACTTTAAACGTTAATTCTAGTCCCCGTACCCTGTAGAATCTTTTTTTATGGTCCGATCTGAAAATTTCGGCCACCACTGTGTTCGTCTCATCGAGAAGCAGTAGCACATCAAAAAAAATCCGAGGTCAAGGTCATAGGTCAAGGTCAAGGTCACTTTAAACGCTAATTTTAGTCCCCGTACCCTGTAGAATCTTTGTTTATGGTCCGATTTGAAAATTTTGTGCACCACTGTGTTCGTCTCATCAAGAAGCAGAAGCACATTTAAAAAAATCCGAGGTCAAGGTCATAGGTCAAGGTCAAGGTCACTTTAAAAATCGCCGTACCCTATAAAATTTTCATTTTTGGAGGTATCGGAAAATTTCGGCCACCACTGTGTTCGTCTCATCGAGAAGCAGTAGCACATTTGAAAAAATCCGAGGTCAAGGTCATAGGTCAAGGTCAAGGTCACTTTAAACGTTATTTTTAGACCCCGTACCCTGTAGAATCTTTGTTTATAGACCGATTTGAAAAATTCGGCCACCACTGTGTTCGTCTCATCGAGAAGCAGTAGCACATTCAAAAAAATCCGAGGTCAAGGTCATAGGTCAAGGTCAAGGTCACTTTAAACGTTAATTTTAGTCCCCGTACCCTGTAGAATCTTTGTTTATGGTCCGATTTGAAAATTTTGTGCACCACTGTGTTCGTCTCATCAAGAAGCAGTAGCACATTTAAAAAAATCCGAGGTCAAGGTCATAGGTCAAGGTCAAGGTCACTTTAAAAATCGCCGTACCCTATAAAATTTTCATTTTTGGAGGTATCGGAAAATTTCGGCCACCACTGTGTTCGTCTCATCGAGAAGCAGTAGCACATTTGAAAAAAATCCGAGGTCAAGGTCATAGGTCAAGGTCAAGGTCACTTTAAACGCTAATTTTAGTCCCCGTACCCTGTAGAATCTTTGTTTATGGTCCAATTTGAAAATTTCGGCCACCACTGTGTTTGTCTCATCAGGAAGCAGTAGCACATTTGAAAAAATCCGAGGTCAAGGTCATAGGTCAAGGTCAAGGTCACTTTAAACGTTAATTTCAGTCCCCGTACCCTGTAGAATCTTTGTTTATGGTCCGATTTGAAAATTTCGGCCACCACTGTGTTCCTCTCAGCGATAAGCAGTAGCACATTTGAAAAAATCCGAGGTCAAGGTCATAGGTCAAGGTCAAGGTCACTTTAAAGGTTAAAATTTGGATTCAAATTCGAGTAATGATTTCGCTCAAAATTGGCATACAGATAGCCCATGGCACGCTGAGTTCGAAAATGGTGACCTTTTTTCCTAGGTCAAACCGTTTGACCTTGAGAGGTCAAAATACTGCGAACCATGTAGAATCTTTGTTTATGGTCCGATTTGAAAAATTCGACCACCAGTGTGTTCGTCTCATCGAGAAGCAGTAGCAAATAAAAAAAAAAATCCGAGGTCAAGGTCATAGGTCAAGGTCAAGGTCACTTTAAAAATCGCCGTACCCTATAAAATCTTCATTTTTGGAGCTATCGGAAAATTTCGGCCACCACTGTGTTCGTCTCATCGAGAAGCAGTAGCACATTCAAAAACATCCGAAGTCAAGGTCATAGGTCAAGGTCAAGGTCACTTTAAACGTTAATTTTAGTCCCCGTACCCTGTAGAATCTTTGTTTATGGTCCGATTTGAAAATTTCGGCCACCACTGTGTTAGTCACATCGAGAAGCAGTAGCACATTCAAAAAAATCCGAGGTCAAGGTCATAGGTCAAGGTCAAGGTCACTTTAAACGTTAATTTTAGTCCCCGTACCCTGTAGAATCTTTGTTTATGGTCCGATTTGAAAATTTCGGCCACCACTGTGTTCGTCTCATCGAGAAGCAGTAGCACATTCAAAAAAAATCCGAGGTCAAGGTCATAGGTCAAGGTCAAGGTCACTTTAAACGTTAATTTTAGTCCCCGTACCCTGTAGAATCTTTGTTTAAGGTCCGATTTGAACATTTCGGCCACCACTGTGTTCGTCTCATCGAGAAGCAGTAGCACATTCAAAAAAATCCGAGGTCAAGGTCATAGGTCAAGGTGAAGGTCACTTTAAACGTTAATTTTAGTCCCCGTACCCTGTAGAATCTTTGTTTATGGTCCGATTTGAAAATTTCGGCCACCACTGTGTTCGTCTCATCGAGAAGCAGTAGCACATTTAAAAAATCCGAGGTCAAGGTCATAGGTCAAGGTCAAGGTCACTTTAAACGTTACTAAAATTAACGTTTAAAGTGACATTGACCTTGACCTATGACCTTGACCTCAGATTTTTTTAAATGTGTTACTGCTTCTCGATGAGACGAACACAATGGTGGCCGAAATTTTCAAATCGGACCATAAACAAAGATTCTACAGGATACGGGGACTAAAATTAACGTTTAGTGACCTTGACCTTGACCTATGACCTTGACCTCTGATTTTTTTGACTGTGCTACTGCTTCGCGATGAGACGAACACAGTGGTGGCCGAAATTTTCAAATCGGACCATAAACAAAGATTCTACAGGGTACGGGGACTAAAATTAACGTTTAAAGTGACCTTGACCTCAGATTTTTTTCGAATGTGCTACTGCTTCTCGATGAGACAAACACAGTGGTGGCCGAAATTTTCCGATAGCTCCAAAAATGAAGATTTTATAGGGTACGGGGACTAAAATTAACGTTTAAAGTGACCTTGACCTTGACCTATGACCTTGACCTCGGATTTTTTCGATTGTGGTACTGCTTCTCGATGAGACGAACACAGTGGTGGCCGAAATTTTCAAATCGGACCATAAACAAAGATTCTACAGGGTACGGGGACTGAAATTAACGTTTAAAGTGACCTTGACCTTGACCTATGACCTTGACCTCGGATTTTTTTTGAATGTGCTACTGCTTCTCGATGAGACGAACACAGTGGTGGCCGAAATTTTCAAATCGGACCATAAACAAAGATTCTACAGGGTACGGGGACTGAAATTAACGTTTAAAGTGACCTTGACCTTGACCTATGTCCTTGACCTCGGTGTTTTTCAAATGTGCTACTGCGTCTCGATGAGACGAACACAGTGGTTGCCGAAATTT